CACGCTCACCCCATGCAAATAATTCTCAGCGATATGAGCGTCCACATTATACATAAACATCGCCCCTATGAGTTTTTTTTGTACGTGCCTGGTGGTTGGCTACTAATCACTGTCGTGGATATTATTGCCAGACTCGTGCGACAAAAGCAGCATGGCGAACCACCCTTGAATTTTCCGTTGCACCAATACGGAGATGATCGTGGTCAGTTTTGACACGGCGTATATAAACCTCAGATATAACTTATTACATTATGTTTGCTGCACAATTAAAGTCTCCCGAAAATTTCCCTTGCAATTGATAAGCAACGAGAAACGCCTATCTCTTTCTATCTTGCCTTTCGCTGTTTATTTGCACAGAGAGAATGGTTATATAGGTCGAACAAGGCAGCTTGTCTTGAAAGGTCAGGTGTCACACCAAGCCTACTTATACATTCTTTTAAAAGGACCTATATAATATAGGCTGCACATGCAAACGCTTACGCCATGCAATACAAAGTCCTAGCCAAGAACATCCTTATGGGTTTTTCAACACGCAAAGTCGATCTTTATACTCAGCGTGAGGCAAGTAAAAAAATCCAATCAAGGCCGGCGCACTAGAGGAAATGCAAAACGTTCAGAAAAAACCTTTAAAGTCTCTACCAATAATTTAGGATCAGATATCCAGAACTATACAGACGGGAGACTTTTGCCCTGGCGCTAGGAGCGAATAAACGTAAATTGCGTGACGCGCCCCGAGAATTTAAATTTAAACCAAAAGTGTTAGGCGCCTCTACCGCCTACACGGATGGATACATTTGTATGGAGGAACTCGGGCTTATCGTTCCCAACTAGCTCGTTTACATAGCAATTATGTCTACTTTGTAAAAACTGTTAATAAATAAAGAACAATTCATTTTATCCAATTATCATAAAAATAAATATTTGTTTGCTTGTTCTTTAATTCGCACGCGTTTATTATCGCCACAACTACATTTAAACAAATTCAGTGACGAAATTAATGGTCACTCATGAACACAAGATTTCACTTATTTTTTGCTATGTAACCTGGATTTATCCACCATTCGACACAGCAACACTTATCGTACAAGTTCTGCTTTCTTGAACATGTAAATATACACGTGCCTGTGTATAGGCTTCATTAACTTTCAGCAGCGCTCACTCCTACCCTGCGTTCGATCAGACAACACAAGCTTTTAGCCTGCATAGGTCAACAGGTGACGAATATGAGTGCTTTACCATATAAATTGGACAAGACTCCTTTCTTAGAATACGTACTGTCTCATAGGTCATGTAAAGGCAACACTAAATTCCCCAATAGATGACACTTCGCTCTCACAGATTACGATAACCGCAAATGACTTGTACTTAGAGAATAATGTGTGTCTATTTATCTCACTAGTCGGGTACTGTCTGTGCCACGAGCAGTTCACGACAATAGGTCACGTTGACTCTCACCAAGAATTGAGGGCGATTTGGGCTTCATACAATACTGCACATATAATAAAATATGCTGGCGAAATTTAAATAATTTCGAAATAATTTTATAAGTATTGATCCAAAATTGCGGTAGACAGACCTGACGTCATTTTACACACTGTGATTTCAGGAACACGTCGAATTTTAAAAATATTTATCACGTTTTCTTATTCTTAAGCATATATTCAAAGTTATTCATATTCATATATTATTCCAGTTCATTCAACAGTTTTCACAGTTTCTCTCTTTTTTCGAATAATTTAAAAACAATTTTGCAAGAAACTACGCACTTTCCAGCATAAAATTAATAAAATTAAAATGCTCAGCTCCCCAGTCCTCTTCCATCTTACTTAAAGAGGCATTTTAGAGTATATTAGTTATTTAAGACTTACGTGAAAGTGTTTCGTGAACGGAAATAAAACCAATGTACAGTAAGAGTATTGATTATAGAGCGAGGATGGCGTGCAATAATTAAGTTGCCCACAGTTCTCCATATTGGCATGGCACGAGAATATTGAAACTTCGGAACCTCATGTATACATACACAGTGATTGTGCTATCGTACTTACCTCATTCATGCACACACAGACCACGCATACAGAAACACACACACACACACACACACATCACAGATCGGGCATAAAGACACTATATCACAAGAAAGTGAAGAAACCCCTGAGGCCTAGAGGTACTGCCCGAGACTGAGATACGAGACACCTCGTCGACGACGCCATGCTGTCTTGTGAACATCAGCAACAACTCAAATGATATTAGCCAAAGTATATTTCCATCTAAATCCCGAATAAATCTGATTCCGGCAGGGAATACTAATTAAAGTTTAAATTTTATATCGATATTACCGAGCTGTCATATTCTTTCATGTGAGAATGAAACATTCCCGGCATTCCTGTTGCTCGATGGCAATCAATAATTTTGACAGAAATCCATTAGAGGTTTTCAAAGTCTTGGTTCATTACTAATACCATGATATTCCTCCCCAATTAGTAGAACACGCATCAAAATATGCACTTTTAATACAAGTGAATGCAGGGGGGAAAACTACACAGACGCTCGATGTGATCGTCGCAACTCAGGTGCTGTGGCTTCTGATGCGTATCGAGAGCGCAACGTAAGCGTGCGTATTATTGAATCGTTTCCAAAGCGACAACGCATTTGCCAGAGCCTGGCTAAGTGGCCGAGGTCTGAAGAACGCTTAGCATTTAATTGCATGCGGCAGTAGTATAGTGTCCACAAAATTAACTACCAAGTACACGGAATTTATTATTGGAACACACACACACACCGAGCTAAAAGTTTTACATAGTAGCTCTTCAGCACCCCCATGCCTCGTCGTACCTAGCAGTTCTTAAATTGCGCTTACAACATCAGCACAGAAATAACCGTAGCCTCTGAGAGCTCGCTAAAAAGGAAGCCGTAGAATTAGCTTTCGAAAAAAGATAAATTCATCGCATGTTCAACTTGTTGTCTTCTGAACTATCGTTGATAGTTCCTTATTAAAAATCATAGTCGTATTCATTGGTGGCTGACCTTTGAAAGACTAGAGGCCTGAATACATAATACTAACAATTCTTAATTAGGTTCTCTGAAGTCTGAGACTCGTTATGCTCCCATTAGTCATAGTCGTCGTCCCAATAGTAGGGCCACTATGCAGGGCAGCTCTGAGCAAGTCTTCGGCATCAGGAATTAGTCGAGGTCTGAAGGGAGCGTCCGCAGTAATTTTCAATGAGCGACACGTGCCTTCAGTGCGTGGTCAAGTGTGCGGTCCAAATCCTTAAATCCAGATTGATGGCGGCTGCAGGCAGGTATAGGTTGGCTGGCAGTCTCGACTAATAAAAGATTAAGCTTTAAAGGCATCCTATCTGCACGTATGATAAGAGATTCGAATGATAAACGGCGCCTAGATAAATTCTTTTTTAAACACAGCACCAAAAATATTGAGGTAGTGGTATTTCCACGATATCGAAGTTTGGGTTGTCGAACATAATTTTTGCAACATACCACAGTACTTATCTCTATTACAACCTGATTAATTTAATTTTTACTTGCATTTTAACCTTTCCGTGACCTTAAACGAATTTCAATCTCCCCTTGGTATTAATTTTCCCGACTATGCAAACTAATGACATACAGTATGAACCGTTATCAACGATTGGTGCAATCAATACTCGTACGATCTTAGATGTTCTTTCGCAAGTTTCCACTTGTCCATGGTTCATTTAAGCAACAATTCTGGGAGTGTTCGGGAAACGAGTATCAAAAGCAGTAATATTTGCTTTATTTGCATATCTATAAAACACATCACCGAGATCTGATGTCAAAATTCATTTATAAAACTCCTATAATTTATATATTTTATTATTTTATTTTATTTTATTATTTATATTATATATATATATAAATATAAATTATATATATAAATATAATATATATATATATTATTTTATTTCATATTTTATTTATTTTATATATTTATATTTATAATAAAAAAAATAATGAAGAAAAGTATTGTAAACGTAACTCTGTCCTCAAGCATTAGGACTCAGCTAATATGCGGCAGCACTACTCAGGCTTGTTCACGCTGAAGGATATATGGTGGCTAGCAAAGCTAATAATTTACGAGTAATTTATTCACACTACACGCAAGCACTCGTATGAATCAGCCGTACTGTTTGTAGAGGTAGCAACTTATGGCCAGCGCTGGCGTATTGGGCAATCACATGCGAACTTTATAGGAATTTGTACTCTACCGCGGACCAATATTATTCAAGAAAACTTAACGTAACGGACAATATTTTCGTCACACTTAACTTATCGGACAATATTTTCGTCACAGTTAACGTAACGAACAATATTTTCGTCACACTTAACGTAACGGACAATATTTTCGTCACACTTAAGGTAAGGAACAATATTTTCGTCACACTTAGCGAAATGAACAATATTTTCGCCACACTTAGCGAAACGAACAATATTTTCGTTACACCTGACGAAACGAAAAATATTTTCGTCACATTTAACGTTACACACAATCTAATTCAGGTTATACGCACATTCTAATTGCTCACAATCGAGCACGATCTGCTTCAGCGACGAGACCGCGTACGAAATATTATTCGTTGCAATACTCGCTGAACCCTCGTGATTATTTTCATAATTATAATTATTATTTTCCACTTAATGAAAATAAGTTCCGTTGAGCGATGAGTTGACGGGCTGCTACTTCAATAAACGTCTATGAACATGATTTGAACTTTCATAAACCTATGAACGAAGCATTCACCACCCTCTGAAATTGTAACATTCAAAACTCAACGAATATTCAACATTTTAAGCATTCAGGAAATAAACTGAGAAATTTATTCACTCGGCAATCTACAGAGATAATGTTTTTGGCAAATATGTAAAGAACTCTCTTATCCAATCAAATGATTCTTCCCAGGAAAGAATAAGACTTAACAAGCTGCGGAATCACAAAGAAAATGCCTTACTCTGAGAGTACTCACCTGATGTAAATAAAACGATGGCTTTCAAGCAGGCATATTCTGCGGAGTCCACTTGTAGAGCCTTTAGTTTATCGACCTGTTCTTGAAATATCCTGACGTGGTCCATAAAGGCAACGACTCGGTCTGCTGCCATAGGAGACGAATTTAAAGCGGCCTCGGCAAGGAAAGGCGCCACTTGTAACGGCACTGAACACTGCGAAGTGTTTAATACGAATAGTTCGGACCAAACAAGTCTTAACAACGCAACTTGATCCGTCATTTGTAAATCAGGAAAAAAGGGAATATGTTTGGCCCAGCCCACTGCTGAAAATAACAACCTTGACGGTAGTTCATAGATATGTTCGACCCCCATCATATTGTTTGAGTTAAAATTGTTGCCATAAGGAGCGGCGGGATAAGGTTCAGCCCTCAGTAACATTGATATGTAAGATGAGAGATACGAGTGACCGTTGAGACTGTCGCCGTTTGTGATGAACTGGCCTGGCATTCCTAATGCTTGAGTCGGCGGCACACGCCCCCGCTGTACAGCTGCAAGAAAAAAAAATACATTCATGTTAGTCAGTGCGAGAAATTAGTACAATAGTATGTGACCTTCAGTAGTTAGGTGCACCTCGTAAGTGTATACATATCAGTTATATCTTTGTTCGTTAGAACTTCCGCCATGTGATAAACGTTCAAGAAGTCGTGATGAATTTTTGTTCTGCTCTTGTGTAGATGAATCATGAATAACAAGCGGCCCTAATAATTTGACGAGATAAAAAAGTAATCGTAGAGTCAAACATAAATGACGAAGGATATAAAACAGCGGAATGATTAATAGTAAAGATAATTTAGATGAACAGGCGATGAAGCAAACGCGGAGCAACAACTGAAAGAAAAATACGTCAATAATTATTGTCACTAGAATTTTAATTCTAATCCGTTAAGTTAGTGCCTAGCTTGGGGAACTATTCTAATGCCGTTCAGAATAGAAAAATTCCAGCCTATAAAGCACCTTCGCGTATGTATTCGTCATTCAACATTAGAAATCATTAGTATTATAGTTACAAAGAATTCGCTTTCGTACATACACGACCAAAACTTCAATTTTTATCTTTTTTGCATTAACTATTACACAACTGTTAGTTTGTTGCATGTAATGCAAACTGTCAGTAATCTCGATTAAAAAAAAATAAGACAAACATTCGCTTTGTCCCAAGCAGGTATAACTTGCAAGTAAATTCATAAGTTTATCATCGAAAAATCAAGATACTTAGTTTCGTCATGCTCCTAGCTGTGCAATCATCTTTTCATTCCGCATTGCGGATAACCATCACTGTTTTCGGCTGTCACGAAGCCTGTCATGCAAGGCCTGCAACGAAGGAACAAAATAGCAACATACCGAGGCTCAATAAACCCAGCTCAGTGTTGTGATTTACTCCTTAAATATTATGGACTGATCCTGCCACACGTCAAAAGCCACGTCAAAACTGTGAATGAACGCCATGATAGACGCATGAACGAAACCTGCATGCCATGCAGGCTCGTCAGCAGCACAGGATGTTGTCTCTTTCGCGCCTTTTAATTAGCCGACGTGATTAGACGACCAAACGATCCTCACACGAACGCTACTTCTTAAGGGAACAGTTGGCGTCTTTTTGCCATCACTTTAAAACTAAATTGATCAGAATGAAAATCTCTTTGAAAGTTAGTTCTATGCTGTACTTCGATGATTTGGGTAACATCTAATCAAAATGACAAAATCATCGTTCCTATCTGTACGGTCGGGCGCCTAGTTTAGTCCTTGACCTCCGCGGGTGGTGGAAATGAAAGCTCATTTTCAAATAAGAATAGGCAGCCTAAATTTATGTTCAGACGTAAAAAAATATATGTAGCACAAGACGTGACTATAGGAAATCAATCACGATTTCGTAGTAGCGACGAAAGGGTTTTCGAAAGTATTCAATTTGATAGTTAAACATAGCCTCTCAACCTTTCTCCTTCATTCTTGACGCTGGTACTCTCGTCGATGCTTGTACTCTCTTACTTATGCTCGAAAACAAAATACATTCAGCATATTTTATCATTTTCGTCTCTCGCACTTAGCGGCTTAGGTACACCGATTCACTAGAACTGAGCAGCGTGTTACACTGCTACGCGGCAAGAGGCAAGAATTATTGACGCTGGAGCATGGCAGTTTGAGGAGGCGGTTACGTGGCATGGAGCTTGATGCGGTATCGACATTTTGCCAAGTCAGCGAGTTTAGAGCTTAAAGCAGACCGACGCGCACCAACGAAACATCGCCAGGCATATTTCGGATATATTGATTGGGAGTTCTCTGTGGAATTAGGGGACGATATTAAAGATGGCAGAACAAAGAATCCTGGAAAATCTGAAGGTTGAGAGCATATTGTTCGTTCGAGTGGGGCACATTTTTTATGAGTTAGTGATGAAAAAATTGTCTCGCGTCGCGAAGGTTGATCACCTATTTTATTTAGTTAAAACTAATATTCTAGCTTAGTTCTTCCTCTCAAATTGTTGTCCAGTACATAGTGCAATAGCTTGCGTCCTAAATTCTTTGTCACGCTACTCTATACCTTGAATTTGAACACAGCTTTACAGCATGCTCATCTTCAAAGTCTCAGCCTCACAAACTTCGACATGTATATCGATCATTCACAAGAGAACATGTATTATTTAGGAAATAAATCACGTTATTCTCCATAGTCGCGGGTAATTTCATCAAGAAAATGAAGACTGTCGCTGAACAATGACACAGCAAGATTGATTAGGGGTAAATACTGATACAGTTTCCCATGAAGTTGGTTAGGTTTCACGCCCAACCGTCACGTCAAGGCAACAGGTACGCGTTCGGTTGCCCCACTTCACGACGACACAATGCAATTCGGGCGCCACTAACTGGACACGAACGTTACGGCCTTGAGGACACATTCCAAGTTACAACCTTATTTGAAAGAACTGATAAAGGCGATTCAGGAATGACCGAGCTTCGATTACTTGGCCCCGTAACGACAGTCCATGGTGCCCTACAAGAGTACCTATTCGCCGAGACCCAAGCGCATAGCTGCATGTGTACGCTTCATACGTCTGGGCTTAAATGGCGAATGCCCACTTCCACAGAATAGGAGCCAAATTAAGCCTCTTTGATTAGGGTGCAAGGATGTGGTGTGAAAGGCACCGTCTGCTCGCATATCGTGTATGAAGGTATGAATACAAGTCGCCCTTGTTTGTTTGTGTGAGAACAACTCTTACACATTCCTCTGGCTCTGCATTAGGTACAAAAGAACGGACTCTGGTCAGCAGGTAAATTCCAACTGTTCAGGATTGAAGGTGAACGTGTCAACGTGAGATAGATTGCGGCGGGCTAGCTTGTCTACAGATTGGTTCATTGACATGATTCTTACCTCCTGTAAATATCATTGTTGCTCATGTCGTATCAATTTACGTTGACCAATAACCGGGCAAATTTATTGAAACATTAGAAATTTTAATTATGCTAAAGTTTAAATGTTTGCACTTCTTCCTAGAACAGTTTGTGAACATAACGTCTCAAAATCTGCAATTCTGAGTAGTAGAATTAACTATTTTAGCTTTTGGATATAATGTTGCCATTTTATTATAATATCGATACACAGAGCAACGAGATTTAAGCTTAAAGAAATTCGCACCCACACTTCTTAATAAGAACCGAAGTCGCACTCCATTTATGTCTTGAGCTTACCCAATTAATTAGTACCAATACTTTTAATTTATTACTTGAATTAGCACCGATAAAATAGAATGAGAGTACAAGAAAACAGTTTATTTGTTTACGATCATTTCTATGCTGAAAATATTTATTCAAAAACCTAATAATTTGGAAATAAATAAGAGAATTAGAGGTATGGTTGTCCTATATGATTTAGTCATCGTAAATAATAAATATTCATAACAAATGATTTACTTACACCTCCAATTCAAAATTAACCCCCTTATCTTTCTCCAAGAGTTATAACTAAAGAGAGGCTATGATGCGATTCTTTCAATTCTCGAATTCATTTGAAATGCGCAAATTGAGTCATTCAAATTCATGAAGAATGGTTATAAGGCCGACCGAGCACGTTTCGCGTCTTATTTACACTGGTTGGCCAATGGCCAATAATGACCAAATACTTGTATGGAATAGTTGACATGACGCAAATTCTTTGGACTAATTCTGGTAGGCTATCAGAACATTCATTGTAATTACAAATCTAGTCTCAAGTCTTGTTGTTCGAATTTTATCCTGCCTACACAACACTGGCAACCTTATCAACCCTGTCTGAGGCTGGAATCTCACAAAGGTTCATCTTCTGGACAGTGCAAATTCCTGAAGGACAGCACATAAGGCGTAAGACAAGCACAAATTACTCATTTCACGCGAGTTTATCATCTCCAGCACCCCAGTGAGCACCCACACGAACGACTTCAGCGTCTCGACATCACACTTTCCCCGCGAACAAAACCAGAGTTTCGTCTCGTACGTATATCTAACTGCAGGGTCGAAGTTCTCGGGAGAGACGCGATAGTAAGACATCGTTATGCCGCCCACACAGCACTCAATACACGCCTACGCCTGGTTATTCTCGTACATATAGAAACATTACTGGTTTACGATAGTTTCTTTGCTGAAAATGTACATTCAAAGACATCTTTATTGGAAAAATATATAACAGAATTTGAGGAAGCTGGTCATTGGACATTGTCACGGTATGAGACAATTCCGCAAACTGTGGCCAACATTTCGATCGGTGCATAAGTAGTAATACGTATTAGCTTCCCGTATTAAAAAAATGATGACTCCCAAGAAGATTCAGTCAGTTTCAAGAACACCAATAAGTGTTGATTGTACCAAACATAACCTAACAATGTCAAAAGCTTTATCAACCTCCCGGGGTTCCAATAAAGCATAACAATTCTCTGCATTGATAAATCTTATTCCAAATTCTTCAATACGCAGCCGTGTTCTAGAGACTGAAAAATTTGGATATCCAGAGTTTGGGTTAAAATATTTACCTAGTCACGACACTTGACCTACGAGAATATGAAGGACCAGGTCAGCGGAGCACAGTTTAGACAATTATGATGAATGTTATGACAATTGACAATGCAAAAAAACTGTATTCTACAGAAGCTAAAAAGTAACACTGAACTGAAATGATTCCGATTCTTCAATTGGCCTTTCGATGACAATTAGCGATACAATCGAACACGTCAGCAGAGATGTCTGATCAAGCTTTAAATTTTACCTCAATCTGAAATGATTTCTAAGTCATCAGAGACGTCAATCGTCCAAATCGAAAGACTCCAGGCAGAACACGTAACGTTTTTGCCCTACCTTTTATAAAGTCTTCATAGACGTTCCCACCCTTTGTAACTTTGCTCTGAACTGTGAATAGAAGAAAATGGGTAATGGGACCTAAAGACTATGGCACTGGACAATGGACACAGCTTATCTTCCGACACAACAACGCGTAAACTGTGGCAAGTGCGGTCACTCGATCGGCAAGTTTGTTTTGGTTAGGACAATGCGGAACTCCGGAAACACAAAAGCACCAAGTGCAACTGAAGGGGCATGTGGGAAATTTAGACCGCGTTCTGTTCCCACTTTGATTTACCGTGAATAAATCGTGGGCGTGTGAGAAATTTAGCGATTAGGTGTGACGGAAGTGTTTCATATTCGGCAATTATTTAAAAGGCTAGCAAAAGGACAATGAGGTCCGATTGAGCCATTCAATGCTGTTTAGGATTGTGCATGTTGACGAGTTTGAAGTGTATGTAAATGAAACTTTTACTCGACGCTTTTACTTCTGATGTGACATGGTAAATGTAATATTTATTCATTTTTTTGCGCATCTGGATGCCATGATATCCTTCAGAATTTAATTCGGAAAAAACCCTAAAATGCTTGCGAGTGAATTGGTCTTTTATGTGGATGAATAAGCTGTGAAACAACTCGACACTGATTCAGCGACCACATTTTTAAAGAAATCTTTGCTCCTCACAAATTATGCAGGACGAGTTATGGCTTGAAGCGCAAGTTATAGGCGTACTCATTTTTAAATTTCGGACGTCTCAACTATGAACATGGCCGATATCATAACTTGAATTCTACTTTCGTTGCGTATCAACCAAAAAAAAAAGGAAACAAATGCATTGAAGTGTCATTGCCGGAGAAAATTAAGAGTATATATACTCTACTATTGTACATTTTGCGGAGGTAATTAACGAGGAAGATTCGGGTTCTTGAATAATGTAGAAATTAAATACATGCACTTTGTGTATGACTCAAATATTGAATAAGATGTGACATTAAATTCTTTCAAATCCGTGACAAATCTTGCAATTTTTATCGATTCAGTTGGATCAGTCAAATGACAAATATATTTTATTGTGATGACAGTCAACACAAATGATTGTAATCTTCACTATTCTGCACATTTATCAACTTTTTAACTACAATCCCGGTAAAATCATGAGATTAGAATAAATAACAGAAATTCTAAATACAATCACTCAGCACCGCTATTACTTATCTCGACGGACACAAGTACATGAAATAAATGCCTGTCTTCAGACCTCCAAGAATTGTAATTTTATTATTTAAATTTAATTTTCGTCATGCGATTTAGATTGATCTGGAGATGATTTTTTTAAATCGTCACCATTAATATCATTCCGGCACCTGAAAACCTAATTTTCTAACCCTGCTATCAACCTATGCAAAAACTTTCAAGCATTCATGATGAAATGAAATGAGCAACTGAAATGAAATATTCTAGCTCACCTTCTCTCCTCATGCCAACTTTAATGCATTTTCTGAGTCTGCAATGCTGGCATTGGTTTCTGTGGTGCTGGTCGATGGGACAGTTTCTGTTGCCGCGGCAGGAATACTGGAGGTTGCGTCGCACTGACCGCTTGAAGAAACTCTTGCATCCTGAGCAGAGAAAAACAGTGTTAACAATCAAAAACAGTGTAAACGATCAAAAACAGTGTAAACTGTCATAAAACAGAGTAAACAGTGAAAAAACAGTGTAAACTGTCGAAAAACGTTGTAAGCAATAAATAACAGTGCAAAAACAGTGTAAACAATAAAAAAAAAAAAACAGTGTAAAAAACTGTGTAAACATTCGAAATCATGTTAGGCTTGGACTGGTGAGGATCGAGCCCATACTGGCTTATCTTAATTTTTTATTTTTAATTATGATGCTACGAATTGCAGTCAAATGTGAATTGTTTATCAGTCAAAAGTGTAAAAACCACAGAGCATTGCTAGATAAATTATTATTGGCATTGGTTAACTGTGCAATCTAAGAAATTGTGCGGAATAATGATCTTCGGCCTTAAAATTTCAGCACTCGATGAATGCATGCACAACGCCTGTATGTGGAGTTGTCGGATAATATGAAGTATTAATTGCACCAAGCTGGTGTCGGTCTGCGAGTAACACGTAAAAATCACAATAAAATCATTGCAATGAAAAAAAATTGAGAATAACGGGGGTTTAATGGCGTCATTTAGTCAGACTTACAACTTTATCGAGTATTTCTAACTTCACCATGTGGAATTTCATCAGTAAATAATAAAATTGCGGACTTTGCATTTGGTAAATGTAATGCGAACATCATAAACCGTAGACTTTTATGCGTCTGGTTCTTTCATAGAAAACCAAGAGTCAAAGTTCATCGAAAGAAAAAAACAACGCTCCTCAGAACCTAGCACAATAATGACAAAGGATGATCGTGATAACAATGAAGGCACGATGTAACATGTTATTATTAACTTATAACTTCAAGAACCGCCCGGGATAAACTGAGAAAAATTAATAAAAAACATGTTAATATGTTATGATTCAATTTTTTATGTATAATTCAATTAATTGAGGATAGGTATACATATCCGTGGGGTGATAAATTTTCAAAATGCGGAATAAAAATACATGTCTCTGCTTCATCATGATAGTAAAGATCAACGGCTCCTGGCGAGATCAAATAGTCTTTTTAGCGAACGGACAATATTAGCAAATTTTATATGTTTGCCCCACTTAAAATTAGTAAAGATAGCCTACTCACACTGAATTCTATACCAGTATAATTGTGCAAGATGTTCATTAATCGTTAATTCGTTTATATAACTGGCAACCTTAAATACGAAAGTTTTTTTCAATTGCAAATATCGTGAGCTTCCGGGTAAATATGTTGAATTTAATGAGTTGTTGGTCGTCTTAATTATAAGCAATGCATTGAATTAGATACTTTAACAGTACAAATATAAACCAGAAATTCACATTTGAATCCAAAATTGATATGACGATACATATGTTTGGTGCAATGAACGTGTTTGGTGCAATGAACGTGTTTGATGCACTGAACGTGTTTGATGCAATGAACGTGTTTGGTGCAATGAACGTGTTTAGTTTGGTGCAATGAACGTGTTGGTGCAATGAACGTGTTTAGTGCTGTGAACGTGTTTGGTGCAATGAACGTGTTTGATGCAATGAACGTGTTTGATGCAATGAACGTGTTTGGTGCAATGAACGTGTTTGGTGCAATGAACGTGTTGGTGCACTGCATGAACGTGTTTGGTGCACTGAACGTGTTTGATACACTGGAGTGTTTTAACGGGCGAATTTTGGACTAATATAGTAAAATATTCATCTAACACTCTGTTATGCTAAAAATTGAATATTATGAATGCGCTATATAAGATATGTGCTATTGTATAATGTACAATGTGCAGTTTCGGGCTCAATTGTTCTTGTTGAAATATGATCTTTAAAAAACAATTATACGAGAAATAGCAGCCTGCACTATAAAAGCACGAACTATACCAACTGCGACAGCATGAACTAGGACGACAATAACTAAAACGGCATTAACTACGGAGTTTAAGTATCAAAGTTCCGAAGTTGAGGGCTTCTACTTTGCATTAATTAACTAAAAAAATCCAATATATGAATGGCAATTGGTGTCTCACAATTCCCTCAGACGTGATCTGATGAACGATATATGAAGTATAAGGGTGATGAATCTTAGATGAATATTCGTATACCGTGTAATAACTATGGTAATTTAACAGCTATAATTACCTTCACACGTAAACTGTCCATAATGTTTGCCCGATGACTTATCACCACACACGACGCACGACATGTTGATAGCCGCCTTGTCATCGCTGCTCGGGGAGGGAGCGGATGAACTCCCCGCCGTTGAATTGGGAGTGGGAGTTTGTGGAGCTGCTGGTTGGGGAGTAAGTGACACTCCTAAATCCCTTTTGTCATCTTCCATGCCCGTGGGTCCTTGGGGCATGGTCACGGGGGGATCCCGCCACGTTGTCCCCCCTTGTTGGGGTACTACCAGAGCCATGTTGCACTGGTAGGAAGTTACACCGCCGTGCACCGCGCTAGCCACTTTGGCGATGTGCACCGCTAACTATAATAAAAATATGCGACCACTTGTCGATTATTAGCGCAAGTGTAAGTAATTCACCACTTATTCTTTCAGGAGTAATTGTTTCCTGTTGAGTTTTGGTTTTCAACTTTACTTATCACAATTGAAATTCAGTCATGCAAATATTAATTTGCGTTAATATGCAATTGACAATCAACCGAAACTGTTGGTATGGCAAATCCAAGTTGGTCGAAGAAAATAATTGTTTTTTGAAAGGGCAGTTTCTGAATAAGTTCAAAAGTTTCGAATTTTCGGAGGCGTTCGTTACTGTTCGTGATTTTTACGAATAATTTAATGCACAATCAAGGCCTACAGACGAGCAATTAGCATTTTTGTTAAATAACATCAATGATGACGGAAGATGCACACACGATCGTGAATATTACTTGCCAGCTATATTGAAACAATTTATTGTTATTTTGCCATGAACCGATAAACTGAAATTATTTTACATAAGGCTTTTTTATTTTCCGTTTAAAATTATCGAAACATTTTTTATTACGTTTTAGCTACAATTATGTTTGAATTTCAGAATCACAAAATTTTTTCCGGTCCTTTTTCTCGACTAAAATTGTACCCAATTATGTATGATGGCCTGAATTTCAGACGATTTCACTTTATTATAAATTGTAAAAGTTTAACCGCCATTTCGAAAATGAGTTTCTTTTTCCTTCAGAACTTGAGGAGCAATTCTTTCAAATTATTAATCAAATATTATTCTTCGTAGTACCCTAGATGACAACTTAAAATTTTTCACGTAGCTTCACTGCAATTTATGACTTCACTTAGTTCGTCGAAAAAATCACCCACTTTTCCCACTTTTTAATATATATCAAAATTCTCCACTGAACCGACGAAAAAATAATATATCCTTATTTGTAATTTTGCAATATCTCTTGCAAGCTCGAACCACCGGTAATTTAGTTATTTTCCGAAATTACTGAATAAAAGAATTTGAGCAACGAGTTTTTTTCAGCAGCAGGTATTCACTACAAAAGCCCTAGTACGACGTGGAATAACCACTATTGTTTGGTTACAGTTGGAAAACCGTGGGTATCATCACAACACCAGGTAACTCCTTTACAATGTCATGAGACGCGCGCGAATAAGAAAGGTACCAAAATGAACTGCGAAGTTGAATACGATATGACACCGCGGGCACTGGAAGAGTCGTTCGCCTCACAGGCAAGACTGGACAACCAGCAAACAAGAATCGGCAGGACTGGGCTGGCCGGCACGACAATACCCTTTGCAGTTCACGGCTTGCGAAACACTGAGTGAAGAGCTGCTTGCTGCATGAGGACTGCAGAGGGCGGTACGTACATAGGGCAAGGGGCGCGACCTTCTCGCCACCTCGCTCGGCCCACCCACACCTAGCATTCCACATCGCCGACGTCCTACGCCTATAATATTCATATTTATTTAACGATGCCTTGTTTTGTTAGTGGTATATATACCCCTAGTGTGTTTATGGTTGTGGTATTAGCAGTGTGGGATAGCGTCAGGTCATGTGAGGTCATCAGGTTTGACCAGCAATGACAGCTGGTTGGTGAGTCGGATGGCGCGCGGCCAATAGCGCGACGAGGCGGAGCAGGTTCAACCAATGGACCTCGGCCCGGTCGTTCGCTGCAACGCATTTTTGCACGCGCTTCCTAATTCCTTCATCGGCATCAACCAAAAGCTAACATAGGTATTTGATCAAGTCAATACAAGCCGTAAATGTGACAGTAATTGGAGATTCACCCAACCATATTGAGCATCTTTTGACTGAAGAATCTCTACCTGTATGTCACAGAATCATGCACATTTTTGGTGTTGTTGTAAGCGCGATAATTTCGGTGTTAAGTGTGAGTGGCCGACAGTCTTCCCTGAGGTTCCTGGCACTCTGACACTGGCAAGCTTTTTTCGCAGGTTTTTTTAGCTGCCGCTGAAGCGACCAAATAACTTGCTTGCTGCCGGCTAGCCTCCACGTCAGGATACGCGTAAATCCTTGGATACCTTCCACGCTCGAAAAATTCAAGAAACAATCATGAAATCTTTAGAATGAATATCAATATTTATTATTGCTTATTTCATGAGCAAAAGATAATCATGTGTTTCGTTATAAATTTGTTCCAAGACATCTAAAGAGTGTGTCTGAATAAAACATATACGGCACATTTCCTTCCTGAATTACTTAATAAAAATAACGTATTTTCCAAGTAACGTTTCTGTTTTCTATGGATTACTCCGAGGAGTTTCACGAATCTCTTTCAAACCGAGTCTTTCCTCGCACGATTTATTTACAGAATAAAAGTTATTCTTTGGTTTTATCTTATTTACCTTTCATACCTGGTAACGCTAGAGTTCTTTTCGAACGAAGTATATACTCGTATGAATACTAATTGATTGCAGCTTAACCATGATAAAACATAGCAGTTTTTAAAGAGAAATTACGGAAATAAAAGGCATGTTTATGAGGGTTGTTTGAGGGTGTAAGCGAGTGAACTGGTTAATGTTAAGGATATATATCCTACATGCATCCTAAGTGGACAATTTTTCTGTGTGTTGATGTGGGAAGGCAAAAATTGGTAAGTGTATATAGCAGGAGTTTGGCTTTTAAAATCTAGGACTTCGTTACAGATAAGAACATAGATATAGCTTGACGTAGACAATAACTAATTTTAAAACTAGAAAATTAAAGACATTTTGCCCATATGCAGAGTTACATCTAGTGCAGAACATATCTAACATAGATCTAGTATTGAGTGCTCAAATCGAGATGTTTGCAAGGGGGGTATACGTGTAGTGTGAGGACGACAGGGGTTATACAGAGGGGATTGGTATAGGGGGGATGGTACAGGATCAATGTTGGTCACCCTTAACCCCTCGCTGACTGAAGCTCCCCTCATCTTAACCCCTAGCATCTGCGCTCCCCTGAATGCATCGCCCCCCTCAAGCTGCGCCTACACGCAGATCATGTTGACTGACACCAACAAGTTTACTAACACAACAATTGAAGATCACAACCTTCAGTCCCCGCAGACTGCGGCACAATTTATTGCACGCAGGCATCCTCGCAGACTGCGTCACTATTTAGTGCATGGAGGCATCCTCGCAGACTGCGTCATTATATTATTTAGCGTATGATGAAGGCATCCTCGCAGACTGCGTCACTATTTGTGTATGAAGGCATCCTCGCAGACTGCGTCACTATTTGTGTATGAAGACATCCTCGCAGACTGCGTCACTATTTAGTGTATGAAGGCATCCTCGCAAGACTGCGTCACTATTTAGTGTATGAAGGCATCCCCGCAGACTGCGTCACTAGTTAGTGTATGAAGTCATCCCCGCAGACTGCGTCACTAGTTAGTGTATGAAGACATCCTCGCAGACTGCGTCACTATTTATTGCATGAAGACATCCTCGCAGACTGCGTCACTAGTTAGTGTATGAAGTCATCCTCGCAGACTGCGTCACTATTTAGTGTATGAAGTCATCCCCGCAGACTGCGTCACTAGTTAGTGTATGAAGACATCCCCGCAGACTGCGTCACTATTTAGCGTATGAAGTCATCCTCGCAGCTGCATCACTTTCATATGGAGGCAATATTAATTAAAAACTTACGCATGATTTCTTGAATTGACTTCATTCGACATACCATAATAAATTTTTTTATTAGAATTACTAGTATATAAATTGTTCCATGACGATAATCGTACATTTAAAGCGCAAATTCCATGCAACCTCTTCTTTCTCTTCTAGTCAAATAATAATTTCTTATATACATGCATCTATGTATATATAAATAACACGTTTATAAACATCGTCGACAACTCATTGAACTGACTTTATAACATTGTTATGGATATGACAAAAGAATTCAAACCAAATACTTGTTCAAACTCTGAGAGTTATTAGGCATATTGAATCACGATATATATCCTTGGAAACTGTGATTTCAAATGAACTTTCACGCAATTGTAAACGAAGAGTGAAAAAAATAAGTGTAAAATCATGGCAGCAAGTCAGATTTTACACTTATTTAGATTTTTACACTTATTACATCATTCGAATAAAAAAATTATTTCCGCAACAAATGAGGCGCGGTCAACTGTTGATGTTTATTATAGTAAACTGAATGAGGAATGTGGTATGGTATGAAGCAATGTTTGTCTCGATCTGATAGCACTCAGTCGGAAGGAACAATTGTGAAGTGCAGGAGTTCTCAGACAGGTAGATAGAACTGAGCTCCATTAATGACATTAATTAATAGTATTAATTTGTGTCGCATCGTTGATTCGATGTTTCATGGCCGATATTTATGGAAGTGATAGATTTCTTTCGAGCTTACATAAACAAACGTTAATTATTTCAAGCTAGTTCGAAATTATTTTGCTTTCAAAGCTATCTTCTCGAAATGATCATTCACGACGTTTATTTTTACCACAAAATATCACTGTGTTGGATAATATTAAAAATGTTAATGTTAGATACTATTCGACGATTCTGGCTGAAAATCATCGCTCAATAATTTAATGATCCCATTAACAAAATTTTTATCCTTTATCACTTATTTCTCTTGACAAAAAATTCAAATAAAGATCATGAGACATTAAATTCAGAAAAAAGTATTTCATTCAAGATGTATTTGAATTCCCGAGTGAATTCAAACAGTTTTTCACTTCTTCAAAACGTAATTAAATGATAATTGAATAAAACCTATTTCTTAACTGAAATATTTCGCAAGCACATCATATAATTTTTGTACTGCATTTAAATAAGAATATGATCAAAATTTTCAGAGAGCATTAGTGAACAAAATCGCTTCACTTATATGAATTTTTAATCCGAAATGCAATTTAAGAGCTGATCGCTTCACGGCTGAGCAGTAATCCAATATAAGGACCCTCTTTGGGCCGCTCTTTAACGCCTGCCAGGCTTTTAATCCGCTTTCCTGAATTTTGTGTAATCCGACACCGCGGCTGCAGATCACCTCGGTCCGTAAACGGGATCGATGAAGATCACCGATCGGTCCGTTAGCAGGATCGATGAAGATCACCTCGGTGCATAAGAAGGATCGCTGCAGATTGCCTCGATGCAAGAAGAAGATCGATGAAGATCACTTCGGTACATAAGGATGATCGATGCAGATCACTTCGATACAAGAAGGGTATCGATGAAGATCACTTCGGTGCATGAGAGGGATCGCTGCAAATCAATTCGGTGCATAAGGAGGATCGATGCAGATCACCGCGGTGCATAAAAGGGATCGCCTCGAGGCATTGGGAATCGCTGCAGATCGCATCGGTGCTAGAGAGGGATCGCTGCATATCACCTCAATGTATACTTAAAAGGAGGATCGATGCTGGACGAGACGGCCGGTACACGAGCATTAATAAGGGACGTGTACCGCCGATCAACGCAACGTGTAGACGCGCATGCGATGACCAAAATTACGCATG